GCACTGAGCCATTTGTAGTGCTTTATAATTCAACTATTCATTTCTTGCATTATATATTTATCTGTATATGATTTAACAGTTCATTTCTTGTTATATATCTTTATAAATAAATATATTAAATTATCAGCAATTTGGTTTTATCTCTCTAGAGAACCCTGTCTAACACAAGATGCCTGTTCCTTCAGGTCTGGGGCTGTGTTGGTGGTGACTGCGGGATGGGTCCTGTGGGCCTGAGCTAGGGTCTAGGGGAGGATCAGATGAGGCTGAATACCTGCCCCCTCCCACTGGCAGTGACCTGTGGCTGGAATTTCTGGACCCTGTGGACTGTGTGTAGCCGAAACTGCAACATGGGCATTCAGCGGCACTTCCGGGCAGGCCCTGCACCCCCCGCTGCCTTTGGGGGTGCCGAGCGCCAGGGCCCCAACATGGAGGCTGCTTTCTGCAGCCTGCAACCCTGCCACAGTAAGAGGGCTCCTGTTCTCAAACTTCCTCGACCCTCCAAAGAAGAGCCAAGATTGACACAGCCTGTGACCCCCAGGACCTCATGGGAGGTGGCCCAAGAGGGACCTGAGGGGTCCTTTCCCAGAGGCCAGTCTGAGGAGCCTTGAGTAGTGTGGGGTATCTGGATGGGTGTGAGGCCTGAGGGGAGAAGGGAAGAGGGTTCTGGCCTGAGGTGACCTGAGCCCACTCCCAAGGGCTAGCTGGGGAGTGGGGACCCTGGTCGACGTGCTCTGTGACCTGCGGCGGCGGCAGCTACAGGAACCACACCCGAGGCAGTGAGCCCCAAAGCCCTGTCGGCTTCTCCACCTGTGACCTGCAGCCCTGTGCAGGTGAGGCTGCCCTGGGGACCTGCCTGCTGTCAGCAGCCCAGGGCCTAAGGTACCCACCTGCCCCAGGGCACCTTTCTCCTCTGCTCTGTGCACTGGCACTAAGAGCTGGTGGCTCTCTCAGGGGAGCCCAGAGTCTAAGGCTCATAATCTCTGGGTCCCCAGGGCCAGTGTCTGGTGTGTGCACCACAGAGCAGCGGTGGCTGAACTGTGCCCCAAGCCCAGCCTCCTGTGCAGAGCTTGGGGTGCCCCGAGAGGCTAATGGAACCTGCCACCCTGGCTGCTACTGCCCACCCCGGACACTCCTGCTAGTGAGTCCCAGCAGGCCCTCAGGGTGACCTGAACAGAGTGTTTTGGGGGTGGGGTATCAGTAGGGCCCCTCATAGCTGAGGAGGCTTGGACTTGAAGGGCTTTCGTTCTCTGGAGAACAGGGGTTGCCGAGTGGCTCCGAGCCCCAGCCCCAGCTCTCTGCTGCCTGTGGCTGCACAATGTTCCAGGTAGGGCTGCGCTGTGGGGGCCCAGGCCAGGTGGGAGGAAGGCTGCAGCCTAGCCAAGCACTCCAAGACTTGAGGCACAACTGTGGGGTGGAGAAAAAGAGGGGTGACCCCAGATCCCTGAGGGCAGTGGGTCATGGAGTTGCCCGGAGCAGTGGGCTCTGCCTTGCCCAAGGAGCCTAGGTGCCCTGGGAGCAGGAAACAGCGAAGTGGGGCTGAGGCCCAGGGAAAGCCCAGTGAGCTGGCCGAGGTCCCCGACAAAGCCTGCACCTGTGTGTTCCACAGGGGCCAGGCTGTCCTGCTCCCTGCGACCTGGCCTCTGGTTTCATTTTCCTGACGATCAGAGCCCACAGTGCTCCCTAGCCTAGATTACTGTTCCTCTAGACTGCAGGCCTGGGCTCTGATGTGGGGATAGCCCTGCAGGGCCCCAGCGGGAGCTGGCGTTATGCTCCGGGGGGTCTGCGCCCTAGAACAACATGTGTGTGCCCACTCTCAACTGCCCGTGTCCATGAGGAGCGCCTACATGCTCTGGGCAGCGTTGTGCTGCGCTGCTGGGGGAACTGGTGAGACCCCCTCTAGGCCCCGGTCCCACCAGGATGAGCTGCCCCCCCACCCGCCCACACTACCATGAGGTTGACTGGGACCCTGGCAACCCTGTGGGACAGAGTAAACTGTCCCTGTGACTGCCGAGCCGGAAAGTGTGCAGGAGGAGAAAGCTTCATCTTGTTCCCTTCGAGCTGAATGAGCCGTTTTAGTCCACCACCTGCTTCGGTTCTGAGTTCTAGCAGCTGAGGCAAGTCATGAACATATCTTAGGAAGTTTTCCTTTTATACGAACTTTTTCTGAAAACAAGGTCTGGTTAAGTAAATGTTTTAGAAACAGAGAGATGGAGTTTCGTGGTGACTCTTGTCGGGGCTCCAGACCAGTTTCACTGTATCCCATAGATACAAAGTGAACCCAGAGTCACTCTCCTGAATGGAATACAACCGTTCTTTATAATTCAGCTCAAAACCCACTGCCGGGGACTTGTTGACCCCCCACCCCAAGTCTTGAAGGAAGTATGACTTCCAGTGACATTTAGCCTAGCCTGGGCCACGTTGTGGTTCTAGCCCAATATCTCTCACTCATTGAGGCTAGGAGTTACTTACTAGAAGGCTAGACTTGTATTTCATACCTAAAATCCTTGCCCCCACCCCCACCCCGGGTGTTCCAGACAGCGAGCGACGCCTTGGTGTGGGACCCGCTTCAGGCTCACCTCCTGACAGAGCCCCACAGGCACGTGGGGGAGGGGCAATGGCCTCCCCCGCCCGCGTGATTTCGCCCCCAAAGGATTGCTGGCTGCCTGTGGCTGCACCTACGCCAGAAGCGACCCCTAGAGCCGCTGCTACTCTCCTCGGGACAGAGGGATGCGGAGCAAAGGGCCCAAGGAGGACAAAGGCTGTAGTGCGGAAGACAAGGCAGGGGCGGTGCCTTTCTCGCTGTACCCTCAGGGGCGTCGCCCCGCCATAGATTGACTTAGCATGCGTCCTGGGTTCCGCTGGGTGCACCCCGTGGGGACTGCGTCGAAGGGGCAGGGCCTCTCCGCCCTGCACACAGCCTCAGGCTCACGACCCTCGGGTGCAGGCCAGGTGCCCTGCCGACCCCCGCCTTCTGGCCGCTGCTCAGGCGCCACCTATAACGTCTGCACCGGCCCAGGGATCCATCCCGCCCGCTCCTTCCCGCGGTCGCACGTGTCTCGGCGTGGGCAAGGGCCGGGGCCTCCGCTTTAGCCCATTAAAGAGCGGAATCTCAGGAGGCCCGCCCTATGAGTGACAGTGTGCGGGCTCAGGCGCGTCCCCGTGGGTGGTCGGCGCTCAGCCCTTGTCACGCATGCGCCTGCTCGGGCTTTGGCTGCGCACACGCATGCGCCGATGCCCCGTTCCAGCCCTTCACCGTGCGCACCTGTCACGACAGTTTCTCCGCTCTCGGTCTTGCAGCCCGGCGCAGCCGGCTCCGCCAGCGATGACGGCACACTCCTTCGCCCTCCCGGTCATCATCTTCACCACGTTCTGGGGCCTGATCGGCATCGCCGGGCCCTGGTTCGTGCCGAAAGGCCCTAACCGCGGGTAAGAAAGGCGCGGCCCAGAGTCCTTGCGAGACCACCTACGCTCTCTGCGTTTTATGCGCGCCCCGGGGAGCAGCTCTTATCCGTGCGCGCCCCCAGCCCGTGGTTCCTCTGTGCCCGCTGCGCGCCCCCGATCGCGGAGCATCTGTGGACCTTGCGCGCTCCTGGCCCGGGAGCTTCTGTGATCCGTGCGCGCCCCCGGGCCAGGGTTCAGCTGTGCCTGCTGCGCGCGCCCAGCCGTTGAGCATCTGTAGCCAGTGCGCGTCGGGATCAGGGCCTACCTGGCTGTTGCGCCTCACTGACCAAAGGGGCAGCTCTATCCACCCCCCGCCCGGGGAGCAGCTAGTTCTTGCCCAGGGGCTGGGCCTGTCTTCCGTTTCTGCTTTATGATTCTCAGCCACTAGTACAGCCTGGGGGTCGAACGACCCTTTCACAAGAGTTGCCTAAGACCATCGGAAAACACACATATTTCACAATATATAATTACATATTGTTTTGTGATTAACCACTATGCTTTAATTATGTTCAATTTGTAACAATGAAAGTACATCCTGCATGTCATATTTACATTACGATTCATAACAGTAGCCAAATTACAGTTATGAAGTAGCAACGAAAATAATTGTATGGTTGGGGGGTCACCACCACATGAACTGTATGAAAGGGTTGCGGCATGAGGAAGGTTGAGAACCACTGCTCCAGTAGAAAGTGCACGCTCCGCCTAGACTGCATTTTCCCAGTGCCAGCGTGCCTTTGCTGATCTCTGCTCTGGAGCCCCGGGTGTGTCCAGGGCCGTGGGAGAATGGGTCCTGGTGCTGTAGATCAGAGGTCCTTTTTTGGATTCAGTGTAGCTTTGATTGGAGGCTACTTGGACACACAGGTGTTGCCTTTGTCTTTAAAGATCTGGATACCTGGGGTCCCACAATCTTCTTCTGTGAACCCCTTACCCGTACCTGTTGCTGTGTGTTTTTTCACTCTGACTGCTGTCTCCCATGCTGCATTTTGTCTCAAAGATGGCTTATCAGCTGTTGCTTTCCCACCTGCCTATGTCTCCCCTTTTCTACTCCCTGCCCAGAGGATTTGAGTTCCAGAGGTCACAATGCAGCACAGCTCTGCAGTGTCTTCCCTCAGCATGTCCAGATGGGGAGTATGGAGGGAGGGGAAGGAGAAGCATTCTTAACCTGGTTAAGGGTGGCCTCCCTGTCTTGTAATTCTTGCCCTGGGTGGACTCGGCTCACCGTGCAGATGGCAGCTGAAGGCATTGAGAAGGGGCTGGCACAGGGAACCCTCCTCTGTCCTTGGCCAGGCCTCCCGAGGGCACTGGTGGTGTCCAGTCAGCCGTGATCCCCTTTTCTGTTGCAGAGTGATCATCACCATGCTGGTGACCACCGCTGTCTGCTGCTACCTCTTGTAAGTACCCTCACTTTCCAGCCGTGGTTTGCATGTTCTCCCGGCCTCTTCTCCGCCAGCCGGCGTTCACCTCCCTCCCCACTCGTGAGCTCTTCCTGCATGTAGGATGACAAAGAGAATGGGCCAGGTCTTTCAGGTCAGATGGCAAAGAGACCATGGAGCAGGCACCACAATCCGGTCTGGCTCTCTCATAATGTGTGACCTGGGCCCAGTGTGACTTCCATGGGATGCTCTTGTCTCTGCAGTGAATGAGTGCATATTGCAGAAAAACGTCACCCATACACATATGGGGAGTTCATCTCCAGGTCCCCAGAATCCATACATGCTTTTTCTGGACTCTCCCAAGCCCCAGTCACAGTAGCCCTTACTCCCACAGAGTCACTGGCCATCCTGCCAGCCTCACCATGATGTTGCCCACATTTGCAGCCATCCTGGCTGCCAAGGCAGTAGCAAGTCCAGGCTTTGGTTGGGGGTGGGGCTCACTTGTCGTTAATTAAGCCTCTTACACCTTGTTTTTACACCTGTGTGGGGCATTGCTGAGATGGCCTAGACCCAGAATACAGAACACAGGGCAGATGGAGCGATGGCTGCCTCCTTCAAAGGGGACAGGCTCATTCAGAGATAACAAAAACAGCTCTCAGCACAAAGTACAGGGAGTAAACCCATCTTAAAACTTGGGTGACTCATTTCAGATTGGTACTTACTAACAAGAATCTTGTTCAAGAGAGCGATGGCGACTGGTCGAGGTGAGGTACGTGGTTTTTGAAAATTCTCCAGGTCGCACACATGCAGAGGCCGTGCTGTGGGCAGAGTGCCTTTTGGGTGCGGCCTGCAGTGCCACCCCGAGGCCGGAAAACATCCTAGGTGGCGTCCTCACCTGTCCCAGGAAGAGCCTCTGTGGCTGGGTTCTATGGCCCAGAGACCCAGATGCTAAGGATGGTGCTTGGATTGTGGGGGAGACTGAGTGCACATTGGGGGAGGTGGTGAAGTTTTCAGAAAAGCTCATTTCTTCAAATGATAGAAGGTTTGTCTGAAATGCGGTCCAACATCCTGCTGCTGGGGGTAGCGGGGGTGGGCACCGACAGCTAGAGAGAGACTATAGGTTTGGGGTTGTGTTAGTCTAGGTAGACTAGAAAAACAAATCCACAGAAACTTATATGTACATAAGAGAGAATTTTATATAAAGGGTAAGGGTACATTAAGAAAGCATCCAAACCCAGTGCTGACCAAGCCCATAAGTCTATATGTCCAACACCAATCTACAAAGTCCTCCTCAATTTCACAAAACACATGCAATGACGGCAACTGCAGGAGGAAAGCTGAATCAGTGAACGTGTAAGCAGCTCAGCACTGTCAGGGGTCTCCACGCAGCTGCTCCAGCACCCAGGGCTGCATCAGAATAGGTCCATGTGGCTTCTCCTCAGGGATGTCTCGCAGGAAGTGAGCCTTGCCAGCTAAAGCAGGGAACTGGCTAAGGCAGCTGCACCTTGGTCCGACCATCAGAAAGCAAGAGACCCGAGAAAATAAAGGCAAGGCTCACCAGCCATTTATCTCTCTTTCCCCTCAATTAATCCCACATGTGTTTATCAGCCAGGTTGGCACAATAACCCGTAACTATCTCAGGGGTGATGGCCCTTTGGTCATCAGCTCTCATCTCTGGGTGTTCCTTCATTTTGAAGGTCATCCTGACTCGTCTCCTGCCAGACCAGTCTTTGTCCTGCCCCTGGAGAGGCTGAGTTCATGAGGGAGCACATAAACAGCTACCAAAGCATCCCTAGACCCCAGGGTCCAGCCCAAGTTGGAAATCTTACAAATTCACAAAGGAGCAAATGAAACCAAAACACTGGGTAGCCCCTGGGGTGCCGAGTCTGGACGCTCCGTGGGTCTCTGTTCCAACATGATGGTCACATCCCCTGGTTGGGAAGAAAAGACTGACAGGCCTCTTAGGGGCATGGGGAGACCCTTCTCTCCCCTCACCCAACTCTGCTATCCTCGCAGCTGGCTCATAGCCATCCTGGCCCAACTCAACCCCCTGTTCGGCCCCCAGCTGAAGAACGAGACCATCTGGTATGTGCGCTTCCTGTGGGAGTGATGCTGTGACTCCTGCTCAGGTACGGAGCTGACAGGTGGTGATGGCTGGTTTGGTGCTGGACCGGGGATGAGGAGGGACATAGACTGCCCTGGGCCTCAGGCAGCTTCATCCTGGGGGAGGAGAGGCCAGGTGAGGGCCCTGAGCTGTGGGCTTGCTGTGGGGACCTCAGAGAATGGGGTGAGGTGAGGAGAGGTTGGACGCCTGTGGAGGCCAGGAGGCTTTGCTGAGGGTGGTGGCGGGACAGGATGAAGAGGCAGGGAGGTAGGCACTGCCTCACTGAGCTGCAGTCCTCAGCCCTACCCGCCCCAGGTTTCTCCAGGTTCCCCCTTGGTGTAGGGGTCACAATTCTGCAGGTTGGAATCTGAAATGAAGCCTTGGTGGATGAGCCGCTGCCTCTGGGCTGAGGCAAACCGTGGAGGCCCCACTCAGAGGATCACGGGAGGCCCTTGGGGGGCTGGCATCACCTCACGGTGAGATCTGATCCTTCCTGGGATGCTTTTTTCAGGTGCCCCTGTTCTGGATGACCTTGGTGTGTGCATCTCTCCCTCACCACTCCTCGTCTTCGACCCTCACCCTCTGCAGTGCCCCCAGCACTTGTCCCTATTGCCCCCTATGAAGACCATTTTCCAGCAGTCTGAGTGGGGGAGGCCGGCTGCAGCAGGCTTACCAGCCTCCCTCCCCCAGGAGAAGGAGCTGCTAAGCAAATGAGGCCAGGACACAGCCCACTCCCCCGGACAGACCGACAGATGGAAGGCAGGGTCCCAGCACCCCTGAAGGGAAGGAAGCCCTGGGTGGGGGCCTGGTGGTCGCCCCTGGCTTTGCCACCAGCCCACCCTGAGGTCTGTGTACAGATCATGCTTGCGGCCTCTGTACAACTCAAAAGTGTTCTTGAACTTGCTGACACATTTATATGGATATTTCTGGGAACATTGAAGTAATGCAGTCACACAAAGAGGACACATCGATACCTGTATTCAGCGCCCTTTGCTGTTATAAAGCCACTTCAGTTCTGTTCAGGGAAGTTTTATTCCCAGGATTGCCCCACCCCCACCCCTGTCCCATTTGCAGAGCCTGGTGGGGCCCCAGGGAAGTCTGGGTTCAGCTCCTGCCAGGTTGTGCCGGGGGCGGTGCCAGTCTGTGATGAGGGGGTTTGGGGTCGTACACCAGGTGCTGGCCCCGGCTCCTGAGGCCAGCCTCCGGCTGCCTTCAGTGAGAGCTTGACTGCGGGGAGAAGGCAACGGAGGCGTATAGGTTTGCTGGCGACAAAGGCTGTCCAGCAAGGTGTGCACATCGACCACGGGATGGGTATTCTCACTGCTCAGAGGCACTTAGCGAGGCCGAGCCACTTGACACGTCTTCCCTCTAGGCCCCCCTATTGGCAGGCCTCCTGAGATGGCTTCATTTTGGAACGGATATGGACCACGAAGAGTCTCACCTGAACCTTGGCTCTGGCCTATTCCTCCCCAGCCCCCCTCAAACACCTTGCCTCCACAGGGGTAGCGTTGAGAGTCTGAACTGTGCTGACAAACCCAACCTATGTTTAGTGACGAACGTCTGGTGCATAGTAACTTGGCCGATCACCAGGCTTCCGCGTCTTTGTTCATTTGGGTTGGGAGCAGCAAGGTGACTGGCTCAGCTGCCTCATCATGGATGCAGACAGGAGCACATCAGCCTCCTGAGACTGGAGAATACTGGCGTCCACTCCCTGCCTGCCTGTCACCACAACTAGGAGGAGGCAGATGGGACTCATTTATGTGGAGCCTTGGGGACTGACTCCCTGTGCCTAGATTGTAGAGTGTGTGAGCCCTGCTGTGGTGGAAAGTGTGGCTGTGTAATAAACTGAGTCTCTGACCTCACCGGGAGTGGCCCACCTCATTTCTGACCAGCATTAGGGCACCAAACGCCGAGTGGGTGGGGCTCGGATGTCAGGGAAGGTGGAAGGGTACTTGTCCTGCAAGGGCAGGTGGGTAGTGAACAGAGCACACATGGAGCACATCAAAGCCAGAAGGTGTGCTATTCAGATGGGGGTCTGGGGGAGGGGGCAGTTCTGGTTTGGGTGGGGTGTGCAGAGGGGTTGGAAAGAAAGGGGTTGGCACCAGACCTCTCCATGGTTTGTGGGCAGTGGGAAGCCACAAGAGGGAGTGATGTGACCTCAATGGATGGGCCACCTCTCCAGGGGACATGGGAAAGGAGTTACCAGTGATGCAGGTGCAGGAGATGGGAGGCTAGCTTAGTGTGTGAGGACAGAGACTGGTGGGCATATTGAGGAACTAACGAGTGGTCAAGTGTGATCTGTAATGGGGAGTGGGGAGGGACACTGTCTAAGGCGGCAGGGATGTCCTTGAGCAAAGGATTAAGGGACTTCAGAAGAACAGGCTTGAGGAGCTCGGTGGCTTCAGCCTTTGATGGTCCCATGGAGGTATGGCAGGAGCCTTTGATGGTCCCATGGAGGCATGGCAGGAGCCTTTGATGGTCCCATGGAGGCATGGCAGGAGCCTTTGATGGTCCCATGGAGGTATGGCAGGAGCCTTTGATGGTCCCATGG